GTGCGAGCTACGGTTTTTTATTCGTCATCTGCAATATCGTATACAGTGTTAATTTTGAACCGTCGCGCGTCGGACTGAAATGTATAGCTTTTGAAATGTTGCGTATAGACGCCATTCCATCACCGTCAGTTGGTCAACATGCAATAAATTAGAAAAATAATAAGGCACTTTTGGAACGAATTTTACAATGATGTTAATTTTTTTTTTTTTATCTGTAAACAACTTTTTTACTAGAAGTCTTGTTCCGATTTTCAAGTTTAGTATATTTTCTAAAAAGAAATTTTATCTGGGTGGTACATTAGGAAAGTTATTTTTCGATTTTCCAAGTGATTTTCGTAATGATTGGGAAAACCGGGAAAATTTACGTACACGTATAAAAGAAACTTCGTTTTTCGTTAGCAATGGTTTATCGTTGGGTACAGATGTAAATTGAATTTCCCTGTATGTCCCACCTTTTCAACTTCTTATCTACAGCAGTGGTCTACTCATCGTGTGAAGAATTATGTCCATCTTTTTTTATTTATTTTGATTTAAGCCGAGTTTACACGGTCAAATATTTTCCCAAATATTTGTCGTATGTCAAACTTCAAATTTTTTTGTGATCCGCTCCTAAAATACTAGAAGGGTTTGTCGAATATGTGATTACCAAATGATTCATTTGTTTATTGTTGTATAACACAGTGTGTACAACTAAACATGATTTATTCGTCGATCGCCGTTTAAACAGCTGCAGTTAAATTTGACCGATTTGAACATTACTGAACTATAAATTATGGTTGTTTCGACATATTACCTATTTGAAAGTCTGAACCTTTTTCTCAAACAAATTGTAAAGTTTGTCACGTTTCAGATATTTGGAAAATAATTTAACCGTATGATCCAGGCTTTATCTGTGTATAGTTAAAACATTATAGATGCGGATGAAAAAAAAAACAGTTATTATTAGTCGACGATCAAAAAAAAATATCCTTTAGAAGAGAAAAATTCCGGGCAACTATATGATGTAGGGACGGGGGGCGGAAACGGAGATACACGTTTCTGTTCATTTGTTTTGTTCAAAGCCGTCCGGGACATTAAACTAAAGTCGTTTAATGCATAAATACTCGGACGTTAATGCGTATTATAGGTGGACACTATGTATAATTTACCGCATTTATTATGCGTTCAACGAATATCAAACCGACGTCGCATCAGTTAATATCGTTCGGGGCGCATTCACTGCGTATAAAAAATGTACGCAGGTATAGTTTAAAATTGAACGTCACACGGTTAATACGAAGATAATAGAAGAACTAGAAAAAAAAACCGTTTTCCGTTTTTTTTTATTATTACATGACTACCTATGTGAACGATTTTAAAAATGTAAATAAAACCGAGTTCTCACGGGACAGTTATATTATTAAAATATTCGTATTATTATTATTAGGTGGACTGCGGAGACTGTTGTTCTCTGTTAACGCGCTTCCGCCCGTCTGCACGGATATTAATTAGGCGGGTATTATTTAACAACTCTCGGCTCTCGAGTACCTATATACGTATTACATGTATACGATTTATTATAACATTTTATAGGTTTTTACCAATTTTTTTTTTTATCGACGAGTAATATTAAAGAAATCGAGTCTATAGACTTACTCCCGAGAACCCGGTGAAACACTTTCAAAAGTCCGTTCAGTCATGTTTACCGCTAAAAATACTGTTCCTCGTCTCATCACGCGCTATATTTGGTACGGTATATAAATGCGTTAAATCGCGTTTTAAAACTCCGATGAGCGGCGAAAATTTTTAATTTAAACGCTAGTTATAGACTATAGTTTACCTGAAATTATATATTTTTTTAACCTGACGTTTTTTTTTTGTTTTTGTAGTTTTCCGAACCGTCGAACCGAGAAATTCGAAAGACTGTCATTTGTTTGTTTGTCGATTTTTGGCTTTATCAACCGTGTTCAATTGTCTGAATTTTTATTTATAAAATTGTCGCGTGAAACTTTTTATAAATACAATTTTGTATACAATATATATAAAATGTTTGTATTACCTCGAAATATGATTAAAAAAAAAAAAAAGCGTTCAACCGTTATACTATTATAACGCCCACACCTCTCCGCCCACTCGAAAATCAAAAATTAAAAAATGTCTATACAAATAAATTGCGAATGCTTAATAACCGAATTAAATCAATAATTCCACTCTACTATAGTTTATCGATTTTAATAAAGTAATTTGTTTGTAGTTTATTTTGCCAAATTAGTTAAGAATTCTATAATTTGATGTGTGTCAAACATCAAATATTTTAAAACTAAAACATATTCGATGTTATAGATTGTCAATTAATTCATGGATTTATTCATTTAAATTTGTTGGTTTATTCGGCCTCAATGGTTATTTCGTCTCACAATCAATTCTCCAGATAACTGCATACCCCGCTCGACCTTTGAACGAACTATAGTGAACGTATGTTGCGCGTGCAAAAAACACAATATTTCGAATCCAATGTATTTGATCAAAGGACCGGCAATGAATGATGGTGAAAATCGTCCGAAACCGTACAGTAATTCACCGGTCGCATTGTCTTCGTATAAGAACTGTGAAGATTTCGGTGTACGCCCGTTCGCGTATTTTTGTTTGTTTTTTTTTTTTTTTTTTTTTTTGTCTATCTCGCGTGTGTTTGTATAGCATAACGACGAGCATAAACGCTCGGCCAACAGAGGTACCTAAATGTATAATAATAATAATAATAATAATGAAAATAATATTATATAGCCGCGGTATAGCGTGCGCGGTATAATATTATTATGTGCGGGTACCGTTATGTCGGACGCTTCTCCGGTTATTTTTTTTTTTCCTTCGTTGCCTGCGCCCAAACATGCACGCGGCTCAATATGATATAACGTAATTTCGTACAGGTGTATTCGACGTGACGGTAATGATGAATTATTATTATTACAGATAGGCGAGTGCATATGTACAGGTATAAAATGGACGTGTATTATAATATGTATACATTCGAAAAATGTTGTACGGGTGAAATATCGTTCGCGGAAACATATTTTTCGTTTTGCTATGTTTATTTTAATACAATATCGTTATTCCGTACAGTGCGGTGTACCGTGGTCTTACTACCGAGGTTCTTTTCTTTTTAATATTTCAAACGACGACGGTCCGCAGCATTAATCATCGGTACAGCGATAGAATTCAGGCGTCTCGGTCTTAGACTCTGAACGTAACGAGAATCGCGCGTATTGTCGCAGGTTTTACTGCGTTGTGCGTTTTTTTTTTCTTTTTTTTTTTTCGACCACTATAATCTTGTTCCGATCGACGACTTCGGCGGTGGTTTTCGGTAGCGGATTTCGTCTGTTGCGTCGGGGTGGTAGTATTTTAAATTGTCTTCGTAGTTTTCTTGACAGTAGACATTCATGGCCTAAATGAAATATTTCGTTGGCGTAACAACACAATTTGCCATCTCACCTCTTATAGGGGACTCTGTCGTACAATGGGCTTTAGGTAGGTACCTAAAGGTTTTCTAATTGTTTTATATATTTGTGTATGTGGTGGTCCAATATTTCCGAAAGATAATTATAACATCGGAGTATTTCATACAACAGAAATTTATCGAGAATTAGAAAACTGGAATGTTGATGAAATATTTAATTTTACATTCATTTTACTGTATACTCGGAGATATCTATTATAGCTCTCCGTGAAAACACTTAAAAATCAAATATACTTTTCCTCGTAAAAGTAAATTATACTAATAGCTAATACCTTTGCATTTAAATATACGCTAAACAAAAATTACATATTCGAAACGAGCGTTAAAAATCTAAAATATATATGCAAACGCACATAATATTATTCTTTATTTTTGCATATTTCGCAAGTATATAATATAAGTACAAACCGTAATCTCTTAAGGATGGTTTTTTATTTTTTAAATTATTATAATTAATTCTTATAAATTATTATATGTTCTTGTTCGTCGTACGGTGACCGCAGTAATTGATTTTTTTTAAGTACCAATGAATGTATTTTTTTCAAAAAAAGTTGCAGTATGAAAATTATATATATATATAAACAAATTATCACAAGGTTTTCACTAACTTAGTATAATTATAACTAGTATTAACTACCTACTGCTGGTCGGTAATAATTGACAAACACAAAAATAACCAGAGAAAAAAATGGTCAAATGTAAAAATACTCAAGTAGACAAATTTAATTTAAATATTTTTTTGAAAATGTTAAATTTTTTCCATCACCATATTTCCCTCTGGCCATTTTGGTTTGTGGACATTTTTGCTGTAGCCATTGTTTAGCCTTTATTATATATAGACTTGTAAATATATATACCTAAAAAATACTGTGACGTATTTGTGGGAGCGATAGATAGATACCCCCCCCCTCAAGAGATTTTTTTTTAAAAGATACTGTATACAAAAAAATAGGTAATTAAAAAATTAAGTGCTATAGTAATAAAATTATTAACAATTTTTTAATCAGAAATCTTGCTCCAATTATCAAACCAGGAGTTGTTTTTGATAAACAATTTTAACCAGTTTGGTACATTAGACTAGTTCTTATTTGATTTTCTTTAAAAATGTTTTAATGAAAGGAGAACTGGAACAAAATAAAGTTAAAATATAAGTAGTTTTATGGGGATACAATTTTTTAGCTTTTCAAAAAATAATCGATTTTTCGATAAAAAGTTCGCCATAAGTAGTACCTTATGATAAGCGTTTAAAATTAATATTTATGATACAATTAGTTTAAAACAATAGTAGTTTATTTGCTAGTTACAAATGTTTAACTGAATTCCGTTCAGAATTGTATGTAAAGATTTATCGTTGCATACAGTAATAAATTTATTTAAAGTGTACAGAATTCTACCTTTTGAACGTTCCACCCGTAGCAGCGTCCTACCTATGAACAGTACTTATTTTAAACGTAAATAGTAACCGTGTGAACAATTTATTTTGCTTGTTAAATATGGCGATGTTGATATGTTTATATTTTTATTTAGATCCATAGAGTTAGAGGGTTTAGACCCCTGGTTCCTCAAGTACAGCCTAGGTATATATAACATATACGTATTTGTATGTGTGTGAATTATATTGGTCCTTCAGCCCAAGATGAACACTCAAACATGCCACTGAAGTTATACAATTTTATTTGTTTACATAGAAATCGCATCCGCGATCGGATGCAATTACAAAGGACGGAGTTACGAACCGGGATCTCTGGTCGGAACAGATCAGCCTTGCTTGAAGTGTACTTGTGTCACCGGAAATCTGGTGTGTCACTTGCAAGTATGTCCTGAACTACCAGATCCGCCGCCTCAGGGATGCGTGATCGTTCATAAGAAGAACAAATGTTGTGCGCACCTTCAATGTTTTTACGGTAAACGTCATATTGTAATACCTGTATGAACTGTTACTGTGTTTAAAAACATTAACATAATTCTACAAAATCGACATTTTTAACGAACAAAATCACCATCGAATAATGTTAGCCGATACTTTATTAAACTTATTAGCAAAACACCAAAATTCTAAAACCGTTTTTCGTCTCAAATTTAAAATAAATTTCGATTCAAGAAATGCGCATACATAATTTGGACACGCTTCGCACCATGGAAATGCTACTGTTGTAGGTGGGAAGTCGGCAAGGTAAAGTTAGGTTAACCTAACACTTTTCATATAAAATCTTCTAAAAACTGTAATATTGCGAATGGTTTTAAATAACTTAGGAAATTCAGAAATATTTTGAAAATGTTACCTCGACTAGAAAGTGACGACAAAAGTATTCGGTGAAAGCTATTAGGTCTCTAAGATTATTTTTTACTGAATTACAAAAAAAAAAAAAAAAAAACGAAATCAATAAAATAACAGAAATCGATATTGCGTAACTATTCCCCCCCCCCCGTCCCGTTGTCCCTCATTGTTATGTATCATATATCCTAAAATATACCAACCACACATAGTTTTTTTTATCAGAAACCACCTTTGAAGTTGAAGATCGGAAGGATAAAATGTCTGTCGAAAGGCGTATTTTACATTCACGACAAAATAAAAAATAATATTAAAAGCACGTTTATAGCAAAAACCACACTCAAAATCGGTCAGAATCTAAAATAACAAAAAGTTTACTATAATATAATACAAAATCCTTTTATGTATATTTTTTATTTTTTTATTAATAATTATAATAATTGTTTTTATTGCAATCTACTCGCACGTTAACAAAAATTAAAAAATTTAAAAAAAGTTTCACCGCGAAAAAATTAGTACAGTCTCGGCTATTAAAAAAATTAATTTTTTCTCTCCGAGTATCGATTTTGATTTCCATCCAATATCTCCCGATTTCGATGCTTACAGTTTTTGATCCTTAAATAGCATAATAATTGTACTTAAATTTCGATCGTGTGTATGTGTATGCGGACAAAATAAAGCTAACAACTGCTGTGCGCTAAGTGACAATGTGCGTATTTCGGATTGATTTATGAATGGGACGTGTAGTGATTTTTTTTATCGCTACATTTTTTTTGTATATATATATATATATATATACAATATTTTAATACTTCTAAACCTTAAGGTCAATTGCCGTGCGTGCGTTTCAATCGCTCTGCGGGTCGTTCATTCAAGAAGACCAGTTTTAAACCGGTGGCAAATAAAAAAAAAGTGTGACGATGCACTCGCCAATATTATTGTTATATTCGTTAAATTTTTTTTTCATTTTTTACGCGCATGTTTTACTAGAATATATCCAATCGGCTCGTCATAATAATATATTCAAGAATTTATCGAATTTTATGTTACACGTTAGGAAATGAAAACAATGAAAAAAAAAAAAAAAAAACTCCATTCACTAAAGGAAAATAATATTGCAATATATTTCGTTAGGTAACTAGTTTTTCAAGTGAATTCACTGTCATGTTATTATAATACAATCGAGAGTCGGGGCGTAAATCGCTGCCGGCCGCGGCGGCGTTGGCGAACGAATCCCAACCTAACCTAACCGGCCGGTAACCTTGAATCTATAACCTATATGATTTGAATTATTTATTTCTGTCAGAAAAAAAAAATATATATTTATGTATAAATATCGGTATTCGAGAAATGATGATTCGTAATTAAACACGAACGTTATTGATTATCGGTTCATTATTGCTGGCCGAGAATATTAACTGCCCGAATAAACGAGCGTATCGTAAACTCGTCCGAAAAATAGTATATTACGTAAATTCTGACATTAACGATTAATCGAATCGATAGGGATGTATAGTTTTGAGTAACCTCCGATCTATCGCATTGTCCAATGACAAATTGAAAATCGTATTATTTTCGTTATAAAATCACAGTAAATCTTTGTCGATAATTGTACACAACTCTATAATCTACGTATTCTAAGATCTTAGCCCGCAGTCTTGTTCTCCTGCAGGCTCCTATATAGTATTATCTGCGGCCCATTAAAAAATACGTGTCGTATTTGTATAACAACATCGTCTACACCGTCTACACAAGAGTCAGGAACGCGCTTGGTGCCCTGTCACAAAGTTGGAAGGCACGTGACTCACTGATAAGACACTCGTTTCGTGTCTTGTGTACCCACGAATAGGTAACGCTAACAACCAAATACAAACCTGTCAAATAGTTTTTCGACTACACTATATAGAAATAATAATTACTGAATAGTTTTCGAGTAGGTACCGAATACTTATATCGATAATTTGGTTGCAACAACTGCCAAACAGTTCGATAGTGATTATTCATTAGTAGTACTCGGATTTCAATGCATTTGAATCTTTTTTTATTGGAATGTGTTACTCTTACACGATGCTTTCTAAGCTACAAATGTATTTCAAGTACTCCATGTTGTAACTATAAGACATTGTCGGGACGTTTTTGACGTTTTTAACGCATTTGAAGACATTTTCGATACATTTATCGTATTATGGCTAAAAAATTTGACTTCATTGAAATAAAAACATAATACTATGTAATATAAATCATTTTTATTTTTAATAATATCAGGTAATCTGGTTTTAAATTAAACAAGGCAATTTTTATCAGAGTATTTTCTTATCGAGCGATAGTATTATATCGGTGGTGCGTGTGGCTGATTGTCGGACCCTTTTAGTCCGTTCAATTTATTGAAAAGGGCATTTTTTAGAGTTTTTAAGTTATAAAAGCATTTTTTGATTTTTTTTTTTAGAATAACTGCTGTAGCTTTTTATCGAAAACGTTATAAACATAAATTTAAGCATAATTAAGCACTATTATGACTTGAAAGACTATAATATAAGCAGAAACAACCAAAATTCAAGTAAAAACATACATAGATACTCCAAATAGCATAAAAACTATTATTCTTCCTTCTTGGAGTTATCTACCACTAAAACGACTATTCTGTAGAGCACCATATTCTTCAATTCTCCCTGCCAGCTGCTCTTACTTATCAGTCTAGTCCTCTTTTAACGGTTTTACGTATTTCCTCCTCACACCTTTCCATCTTAAACAGAGGCGAAGCCATATATGTCTTTCCGGGATCTCTCCCATATTTCCATGCGTAAAAGTGAATTCTGACTTATTTAAGCGTCACTTTTCTACTGCAATCTTCTACTCTGGATCGTATTTTTGTATTTAATATTTTCTGTTTACGGATGAGTCTCTCTAACTCGTTCTTTTTTTTTCTTATTTTCCATTTACCTGTTTACTCATATTTATTATTTCCGTAAGTTTTTTCTTTAAAAATAATCAGTTGCCTACCCTCATTTTCCTGAATGCCCATGTTTCTGTTCTATATGTGATTATTGGATATTATAGCAAGGTATATAATTGTATCTTTAGTTCATTCGATAGAGACTACGAGTCCGTTAATAAATCAAGTGTGTTATTAAAATGATCAGAATAGTTGGTAAACAAAATTAAACATGTTCCGTATTTAATTATATAGTTTAAATTGGTCATTTCATTTTTATTTAGTAGAATTTTGAAACGTGACTGAAAAAAAAAATTAATATCATGGAAAATGGGTTGCCATTTCTTTTTTTAGATTTTGAGCAGAGCGAGGAATGTATTCGTTTTACAATGATATTTATTTATTATTTTTTTTTTTCATGTGAACACTTTTCCTATCAAAAAACTTATTCTCATGATCAAGTATAGCATCTTTTCTAAAAGGAAATGTTCTCTGAGTGGTTCTTTAAAGAGGTAATTTTTTGAAATTCTTATTAATATTCGAGATGATGAGGAAAAACTGGTTCTTTAGGTCTAAAAAGATTGAAGGATTACAAATAATGTTGTTATAATATATGTGTGTCATAATATGACATACATATATATTGTTGACAAAAGCAACACTATATTAACTGAACTCCGTTTTTTCGTTAGCAATGGTTTATCTTAACTAACAGATATACATTAAATTTTCGTCTGTATCCTACCTTCCCAACTTCCCACCTACAAACAACAATGGCTACACCAACGTGCGAAGTACGTCCGTCTTTTTTTATCACACATACATTGTTTTCTCAAAAAAAATCCTCGTTTCGGAAAGCCGCGACGATAATCGGCCAACCGCGAATTTAAAAACACGGTTGTATATTATTGTGCAATATATATTATATTATAATAATATATACGAACATACATAATATTAAAATAAATATTAAAAAGTTTGAATACTTAATGTACGATTATAATAATACACGTACAGTGTATGGCGGCGGGGTCCGAATTATAGCTCGGACGGCGAATAAAAAAAAAAAAAAAAAAAATCAAATATTATTCTCACATGCGCAACCGCTGTAAGTAACCGGCGAATATTATACCACACAAAGAGACACACCCGGACCGCCGCGGATCCCGTTAGTTATACACCATTAATTTTAAAAAATCAATCGGACATTATACGACATACGCGAGCGTGCGTTTTTGAATTGTCCGTTTTGCATAGCTATTTAATACATACATTAAATATGTACAGGGCGATCCATTTATCACGAATCAACGATTCTCCCGGAGGGCTACAAGCGAATTCGATTCGAAAGCTTTTTTATCGGAAATCTCGTTCCAATCAAAACCGTTATGGCGACTTTCTTGTAGCAATTATTTTATCTAGTCAGCGCGTTGGGCCGTTTTTCGATTTCCTTTCTTAATAATCGGAAATCACTCCATATTGTTTTAGTTCACTCCAAGTTGGAAGGAATGACCTTCCAATTTCTGTCCTAAACCAGAGGCACGTAAGCACTATAAACAGTATCGGCCTTTTTTTCACACAACACATTTACCTTTTTAATTAATAAGTGTAAAATTATGAATTTCAAATAGAAATTCAATTTTTTTAAACACAGATTCACATACAAAATGTATTTTAAATTTGTTACAAGTTTATAATATCAAATTTACTCTTAATGAGTTGTAACAGATTTAAAGTTCAAAATGTATCGTCTTAAATCGGATATAAAGTTTATTGCCTTTCCGTACTCCTCTGTCTAAACTTTAAACTGTTATAACTCGTAAATGGTAATTCGTGTTATGCGAAATGTTGATTTATGATGAATAGATGACCCTGAATATATCTATAGCACACCGAAAAACCGAATCTAAATAGTAAATATAATATATTCAATCTCAGCTAATGCGGACGATTATTTCAATAGTCTGTACGCGTTGGCGTTTTTGGCAATTTTTGAAACCAATAATTAAACATTGCTAGTTGCCACAAGACAACATATATGACATTGACGAGTTAAATAGTTAAAAATCAAGTTTGTATTAATTTTTTTGAGTTTTACTAACTCGACATTTTTTCATTTTTTTTTTTACAGTATTAACTTACTTAACTAATAAGACGATATTTAATTCTGAATACTACGTTAAGTTAACGTTGTTAGTGAATAAGTTCAATTTGTTTTTAATTGTAACACAATATTAAATGTACAGAGTAGAGCCTATACAATATTTGATTTAGTAAGTAACTACAATAGTATAAATAACTTATACACATTTTTTTTTTATTTGATGTTGTGTATAATAGAGATCCGAGTTTGATATAAATATAACAATAATAATTATCGATGACATAAAACGAAACCAATGGAGACCTATCCAAATATGTGCACAGTTGTACGGGGCATTCAAGCGATGATATTGACGGTTATCATATCATTAAAAAAATATTGTAATATTTCTAATCAATAATGGCAAATATTTTCTTCTTTTTTGAATTTCTAATACGATTTACTCAGATTTTGACATGATATATATATGTGGTCGTAACCCACGAATAACAAAATTCCACGACAGAACACTGTTAATACTATAATATTATCTCTAAATCGTATTGCTTTCCGATATCGTTCAATAAGAATGCAATATAATATCTAAAAAACAAACCTAGTGAAAATAATAATACTATTTTTTTAACAACTCTGCAACGAAAAAGTCAAGAATAATAAATAGTTTCGTTTGGAAGTATCAAATACCTAAATAATGTTGTAAAATTATTATCGTAATAATGTCCAATCCTTAAGCAGGCGCGTGCGTTTTTTTGTTAATGTTCATAGTGGCGCGGGGTCTACCAGGATCCTGTTTGTAAAAATGCGTAAAATATCTACAGAAAGTTCATTATCTTTAAACTCAAAGACATAATAGGTTACTACATAAAGATACATAAATATGAATACGAATTTAATAATAAAAATAAATAAATAAATCCAATATTATATTATTATTAAATTTTTTTTGTAATATACAAGTTTTATTTTCAATGGGGGCCAATTAGAGTTCCACGCAACTATTTGAGGATTAAAGAGGGACGAACAATTTTAGTTTTTTTACGATTTTACTAGTTACGGGTCACGGACCCTAGTGGTTTCGATAGATTCAGGGGGTCCCGATGAATTTGGGATACTATACTATTAGTCGGGTCCCGGCTTTCGGTAGGTAATATTATACTAACTAGTTAGGTCCGAACGTTTAAAACCAATACCTTGCGTAACATTTTTACAAGCTATTTTCCCAGTGATTTTTTGTCATTTTTTCCTTTAAACATTTTTCTTTTTATAAAATACAATCCCTTAAGTTTTTTTTCGGAATTTTTTATTTCAATGCAGGTATCTATTTGGGTAGTTTTTAAAACGTCTATAAACTGGTGGATGTTAGGATACAAATTGTGTTTTATTTTTCGAAACTTCTGAACTCTTATGATTATTATTAATATTACGGTACTAGACGTATGCACTACTTGCGAGAGTTCGGGAATCAATGTACTATAGTTACTATAGTATGCTACTCGTATAGACCCGGGCCCCAACTAGTGTAGACTTTTGTTCGCGGGATCCGACTCGGATGCGCCGTATATATACATATGTTTGTTTTGTTTTCGTTTTAAATTTCAACGTGAAAAAATAGTCCGAAATTAAAATTTTAAAACCTGTTTTACACATTGATTGTAGAACAATTTGCCGCCGTCCATTCAAATCTATTCGGACCGTCGTCGGAGACCGAACCTCGGCCGGCCGGACCCGCGAGGATGGAAAACTCGGCGGCGATCGTGACATTTGACGGTATGCCAAAAGGTATTTACTACGCGGATCTATAATCGTCTTATCAATTTATAACTTCACACGAGTGAAGAGTATCGTTTAAGAACTTGTAAACGAAACGCGTGAATCGGACGCGGATGTAGCCGATAATATAATAAACTATAGATTGATAAACTTTCGGAAGCACATAACGTATCGTACTTCCGCCATTTTGAGTAAGGGTCAATAACGACGTCTTATCTTTTACAGTATAGTATGCGATTTTTATTATTATCAAAGTTGATAGAAAACACACCAAATAGACGAAAACGTTTGAAATGCGCTTCAATTATTTGTATAAATATTTGGGTTTCATATTTTATAATATAACATAAAATCACAACACGTCTAATACCGTTAAACCGATAAATCCTCTGCAAACGATAAATACAAATAACTATAATAAATATTTATTATTGTACAGTATTGAAAATAACGTTTATAATTGTAAGAGAATTTAAATTTCGGTGACTCTAATCGACCAACCTATTTAAAATGGCGGATACGGTAACTTTACTTCACTAAGTTATACGACCAGAGTTCTTCTTCGTCTTATCGTCTTTATCACATTACTCAAGAGTCAACTGCTCAACTCTTATAATATATTCTCGCCCTTTTGCATCTCCCTAGCCATCCACATTTCTTCGTCTGCTCCACATCCCACATGCCCTCCTCATATTCTACCTTGTACAAACATTAAACCTTGCCTAACTTCCTTTTTCCCGACCAAACCTAACCCCGTACTCCATTTACATTCCGTGTTCTACACTCGACCCACTTGGCTGTATACACACGGTTAGGTATTCTCACCGAACGATCATTTCTTCTTCTCTCAACGCCATGATACATGTCGGCATTATACCTATACCGTCTCAATCGTCGAACAATCTTTCGCATTTTTCCTGTTGAATCCACTATGCTTCCTATATAAATAATCTGGTTTATTATATTATCATCTCTATATCTGTGAAATCGCACGACTCGGTTGCTGATGGTTTTCTATAATATGTTGGTGATAAGGATGCGTGGTAAACGGAACGATTTACGCGGAGGGCTCGGCGATGGACAGCTCCAGTCTGTGCGAATATTGCTATTGCATCAAAGGCCGTCAACAATGCGTACGGCCCCAGTGTTCGATGACCGTCCCAGACTGTACGGCCGTGTACAAAAAACACACCTGTTGCCCTGTCCGATACAAATGTAAGTGTGTGTTACCTATTTTACGAGATACCGTTTTGCCTTCGCTCTGTCCGTTTTTTCCATTTAAAAACGAAACGATTTCCTGCATGAGAAATTGCTCGCCTTTATTCAATAATAATTATTACACCTATACATTTTATTTCCCGGTCGTTGTTTTCACTATATTATAAAAACGTCTAAATTGATAAAATATATTACAATTGAAAATCGTTGTGCTAAGATTATGGTAAAATTTTCAATATTTTCGTTTTTAGTAACGTTTTAGAACGGATCGAAATAACTTCGAGTATTAATGTATCGTCAATTTGTTTAAATTTTTTACTCGACGCTGGTATGTGAACTTTACGCATTACGAATAAAACAATATCCGACAAATTTATAATAATATTACGTTGCGCGTAGTATACTTACTTTGGGAAACATGGTACCTAGTATAAGATCCGCAGTTTAAGTCTTTTGATAAATAACACAATTGATATATTATTATTATCGTTCGTTTTTCTTTCTGCAATTCACGGGAAATATGCGTGTTTCTAGCGATTTTTTTTTTCTAGGATATTCGTCCGTCACACTATACCAGGGAGGGAATGAACGGTTTCTATGTACCCGTGAAATGAAATGAAATATTGTTTTGTCGTCTGACGGAAATGACTAATATTTTACACGTTTATTTTATTTATTTTGCAGGTTCGCCGTTACAACAGAGTGCACTGACGAAAAAAAACGCTACAGACGAACCGACCACCGAGTCGTCTTCTTCTTTGTCCGCTCGTCTCAAAGGTACCTGCATAATAGTAATTAATTACGTACGTCTTTTATGATAAACGACAGCCTAGGAGGTTACACTAAAATACGTTTTTTTAGTTTCAATTGTGTCAAGATAAAAAATTATTGTATTAGGTAATATATGTGTTTCATACGCGTTTCTATCCGTCGAAATGTAAAACTAAAAAGACCATACAGATGGACACTAATATTGGGTGTCCGAGCAAGTGAATAAAACAATAAAATTATTTTTATTTTTTATGAAACAAAAAATATGACTTGTTTCTTTATTCGCTTGTTTTTTTTTTTTTTTTTTACTTCACTCAGTACTATCTACGTACTTAATTATTTTAGAGAAAATATTATTAAAAAAGTATAATTTTCAGAGAAGCACATTCGGTTTTTGGCAGAAATACTTATACAAGCCATAAAGGGGCGTATTTATGGAGGGGTCTGAGTGAGCTGCCTTCCCCCAAAATTTTAAGAAAATCTCAAAATTATTTTATGGACTATGAAAGGCGCTGCAACAGTCTTAAATTACTTTTTATTGATTTCAAACCTAACCTTACAGACCATTTAGTAACTAATATAATAGGTACATTATGTTAAATGTTATTTTATGATAGGTAAATTACGTATAACTTTAGATTCTGAGCGAAGCAAGGAATGTGTTGGTTTTACAATAGTGTTTATTTTTTTTTTCTGTGAACAACTTTCTAATATCAATTTTGCTCATATTTACAATTATAGCACTTTTTCTGAAAGGATATCTGACTGGGGAGATACTTTAAAGAGATAATTGTTTTGATTTTCTCAGGAGTTTTCCCAATCAATGGGAGAAATGTAGGAAAAACAGAAAATGGTACAATATTAAACAAATATCATTAAAAAAAATATATAGGTAATGTGTATGAAGGACTACGGGAAAATACGATAGTCAATATTCCTAAAATGTTCAGTATTGCAGTTTTAAAGTTTCAGAACTGCATTAAAATTGTATTAAACCGTATATTTAATCCTTTGTTATATCACTGACTGTGATCTTTATGCTCCAAATCGATTCACATATCAATTCGGCCGGAAACAAATGACAAGATGATATAATTATTATCTTATTTTTTTTAATTTTTTTTTTTATTATTATCGCTTTTCCCCGTAGCCCCTCATACGTAATAATTTTACCATAATATGACACATATATTGTCGAAAAAGCAAAATTATGAACCGAACTCCGCTCAGAATGTTTTTTTCGTTAGTAATGGTTAATTTGTTTATATACATTAAATCACCTACAACAGTGACTGTACCGGTCTCCATTATCCTAGGACAGCTTTTTTTTATTTAACTGTATGACAATGTTTGTAAATTTTGATCAGCCATTCCCGAAATAAAATTCTGGATACGCGCCTGAAGCCATAGACGTCGTTTGTGCCTAATCGTCACGTTCTTTATGAAAAATTCGACTCGCTATAAAAACACTACTTTATAATTGCGAAAACAGTTCATTAAATTTTTGACGCGGTCTCGGAAATATTGGCGTATATTGGTGTACGATGCGTCTTCGTGTACCGCGATTAGTTGGGCCAAGTTCACGGACGCGTGCGAAACGACGGCGTCATAATAATATTCGAATCGCGATGTTTAAACAATAAAATAACCGTGACCGGATTTCAAGGGGAGAAGGACATCAAGGGCAGAGCGCGCACTCTTTACGTAAAAACAAAAAATGCATTTCGACGCGATCGTAATAGCATTTTAGACACGCCGTAATTATATCGTTTCGTTGCGTGTTTTGTCCTCTCGAAATTACCGTTCGCGACGGTCCGTCGTTTTTACAAGCATATAATTATAATATTATTATCGCGGTTTCGGATTACGTTCGAAAACCGACACGGAGGACATACATAGGGGGAGAGGAAACATCCCTGGTTTACAGATATTCGTATAAGATCCCTACTAGTCCCTCGAACGGCCTTTTAGATTCTGAACGAGAGGAATGTGTTTTTTTAGTTTTTCAAATCTTCGACCACTCTCTAAAAAAAATATCGTCGAAAACCGCGCGGAAAAATAAAATGATGCTGATTTTTGATAAGATATTTCCAGAAAGCAGAGGTGGACTGGATTAAGGTCCGGCCTATTGTTTCAGGAATCAAGGTAGCCTTTAGGCTTAGGTTAAATCTTGTAGTTTTTTTACGAGCCTAATCATGAATTTGAAAATTATAACATTACAATCGATTTTTTTGTTGTACCACTAGGTAAAATATATACGCAGGGTTCGGTTAATAGTGTTGCTTTCAAACTTATATTAAAATTCTTATAAAAAACAATTTTTTGACCACAAAGTAAGACTTATAATGAATTTTCTGTTGAATTTGTCAGAATTTCTGTTTGGTCTAACAGTTTCATCCGCAGACCTAACTACCAAATAAAAATTAAGTAAAAAAACACTGTAAAATTAAAATTTCTATAAACAGCTCATATTTTACCACGTTTAGAAAAGGCAATTATAAGTTTCCTGTCAAGTCTCTACAAAAACAAAAAAACAAAAAAACTGCCGGTAGAAAAGTTGTTCACAAAAAATAATACAACAAACACATTGTTGTAAAACCAATACATTCCTCGCTCCGACCCGAATCAAAAAAAAAAAAAAAAAAGTAACGTTATGAAAAGAAATTCACCACGTCGTTGTGAATATAAAGTGAGGTCGGGCGGCGAAAACAATAGGGAAAATTGCATTTTACCGAGAAACCGGTGGAAATCCGAAAAATCTCGACGCCCGTCGCCTCGGCTCGCGATTCCCGTCGATTTCAATAATTTTTTTTTTTTTTCTCACCGTTTCGCCGACTCTTTCGCGTCCTCGCCCGCAGACTGTCGCATTAACGGCCGGCTGATATCGCTGGGCGAGCCCGTCGTCGGCGTGGCCCGGTCGTCGTGCGAAACGTGTTTCTGCATCAACGGCCAGGTGCGATGCGACAAGGTGATATGTCCGCCGATCCGCGCCCAAATCGCGCCCAATTGCGGACCGGTCTACTCGGAAGGGCACTGCTGTCCGACGAGTTATAACTGCACCGCCGCCGCCGCCGCCGCCGGTACCGGTACGTACACCCATTATAATAATAATAATAATAATAATAATAATAATAACGATAATAACGATAATAACGATAATAATAATATTAATATCGCGCTTACGACACGGCGCGTGTGCCCGGCGTACGTTTCCCGCCCCCCCCCCCCCCTCCACCCGTCAGCCGCGCTTCGCGCCGCCCGGGTCGCTGACCGTTCTTTCCGACGGCGGCCGCGTGTTCCTGCGCACCCACCTCCGCCGGCGGCCGTCGCGCGGTAACGCGCAATAGCGTTTGTTGCGTGCCCGTTACGCGCGCACGCGTCGAACGGGACGCCGCGACCGCCGCGCGTCTGCTACGCCCGTCCGATTGCCGAGCGACGCGCGAAAACGGCGCTCACCCCGGGACCGAGTCGGACCGGGCCCGGCATTCGGATTTCACGGTCGCCGGCGCGCGCCCCGTTATGAGACGCGCGGAGAGCAGTGTGTTTCGCGGATGGAACGCCGTCCGGTGTTTTCGCGGCGTTATTCGGAAAAAAAATACGAGACTCCCGATACGGGAGGAGTCACAAAAACTTTTCCTGTTTTGATTTTTTTCTACGTTTTTAAATAACCGTAACTTTTTTCCAGTAGTTCATAATTAGAAAAAAAAAAAAAATGCACATATTTTCATAGCGGCCGCTTTTAATCTACAGTCGGAATTAAGCTGGTTGTACTTAGTCTGCGTATAAGCGTTGGTTTTTGCCCGGTAAACGCGAGTGCGGTGTTCTCTTAAGTGTCGTTGTCGAGGATGGTTTTAATAATCCGCTGTCCGCGTCTAAAAACCCCATCGAAATCCCGCGAAAACGCTGTTGATCAGCGTTAAATTTTTTGAAAACCCGCTAAAATTCCCACCGGAAAAAAAAAAAAAAACCTTAAAACAATTTACTCCTTTACTCGCGTGCCACGGTGTTGAATTGAACATAAGATGCGTTTTTTGATTAGATTTCGTTAGCTGATTTGAGATCTCAAATCGCGTTCAGAAAATGTAGACAGCACACGAGCACATTTATTCTCGATTATTAATCGCAGTTTTATTATCAAATATTTTCTTTAAACATTACTTTTATTCAGGGTCCAACTGATATGATCACGAATCGAGATAAAATATTTTCCACGGTTTGTATGATAGAGTTACCAAACAGTGTAGGAATAAGAAGAAATATATCTGTTTTTGTAGATCACATTTTATTATCAAGAAGAGAATGTCCACTAAGAATTATTATACGAAGTTTTCTAAGAAAAAAAAAAAAAACACTAAAAATTACAATAACCACTAAGTACTATTTCTTTCCTACTAATTATAGTATCCACAACTCACAAGATTTTGTGATTTTAGTTTTAATATATTCCGTTTTATTTGGCACCAGATCCATTTTGGTTGGTCGATTCAAATTTACAAGGCTCGTTCTTTTTCGCGCACCTGTTTTGGTGTCGGCTGTTTTCAACGTAAAATTGTTTAATCTCGAGGTATATGGCCGCTCCCATTCGATCGTTTCAATCGTTTTCGGCCGTTTAACGTGTGCTAAACTTCAACGTAACATTTCGTTTTCAGGAAAAACGATTCACCGCAGACCATCACTTATCGGTTATAATATCCCGCGGAACAATAACGAAATTTGTGTTTTTTTAGGTTCTCACGCGGTCGTCTCGAACGTCACAACAGCAGCCACAACCGTTGCTGCCGTGACGACAACAGCCGACGTTGAAACCCTCGTGCTCGGCGAAAGTTCGACACAACCGTCGTCATCGCCACTGCCGCCACCGATGCTGCCACTGAACGAGACAACGTCAACGGTATACGATTACTATAGTAATAATTACGTGATAGGTGCCGGAATCCGGATTTTTACGTTCGGAAATCGTAATTTAATACCGACCGGGTTTTTTTCAAGAAATACATTTTTTTCTCCTCGTTCTGATGTCAATTAGACCGATTGTAATATTAAAAAAAAAAGTTTCTGCTTCTCCTCCCCTTCCGTTTAGCCTGTTAAACCCGGCGCTCGATATGTTCGTTTTGCGAACATTTCGTTGTCTCAGACGGTTTTGTAGCTAAAAAAGTTCCGATTGTACCGGACGCGACGGGAACGTTGCCCCGCGAGTTTAGGCAACATAACCTACACAGCGGCGTGTGTTCCGTCGGTAATGATCGAAATGCCGGATTGGAGAATTTAAAAGTAATATTATGATTTTTTTCTTTCCGAAAATCCCCCCCAAAAATTGTTATTTTAGGGGAATAAAACTATCGATTTTTCGGGAATTTCGTAAGTGCACCAACATTTTCCAAGTTTTCCGGAAAAAAAAGTTGTTTTTTCGAAAATTGTTATCCCTAATTTCGTGTTCAACAGATACCGGCGGAAACCGAGAGCACGTCTGTCGCCGCCGATAGCGTCGAAGAATCCAAGAACGCGACGACGACCGAATCTGTTGCTGCTGCTGTCCCTGACACGGTGGACACGGATCCGGCGGAATCGAGACACGGAAATCCGGCCGGTTTGATGCGAGACGACTGGGGCTTCAACGTCACCGAAAAGTCGAACAATTTCGAAATGGACTACGACGAACCGACTCTACCGCCGTCTTTGCCGAATCTCAAGTACGATTTTTTTTTTTTCAAATTTTTTGATTTTCGGTATCCGTGTTCATTGTTCAGAGTGTGCAGGATCTATTTTTCGTGTGGGAAGGGGCAACAATATAAATGGTATAACTGTCTATAGTTGTAACATCTATTATATTTCCTGAGACCCGTCTTTCCCTCTATGATATGCACGTAGGCTATAGATGACAGGGTTCATCTCCACTATCTGTATTTTTTGTTCTCTTTCACCAGTGATTGAAATCGAAAATTGATTGCATTAAAGTGTATAATAAAATATATCGTATATTTATATTACATACAGCGATTACAAACATTTTTTCTTTGTGAAAATTGAATTTCCGTTCATTCTGATCTTTTGCTTAAGCACGTCTTTACGCACAAACATAAATAAAAAGTAAAAGCAAAATTTCATTTTATTTATGTACAGTGTTGCCAAAGATTATTACGTATCAAATTACAAGAGAATAGTGACGTAAACAGATTTGTAATCAATTTCAACTGTTTTTTTGTAAACGTAAATATTAATAAATTATGTTATAAAATAATTAAATAAAATTTATTTGAAATTTTAATGTTAAATATTACGCGTGTTACCGGAGATTTTCTGTAAAAATACATTCATGCAAAACACACAATGTAATCATACTAAAGTTATTTTATATGTAAAATATGTAAAAGACAATAATCCGCAGGAAACCTCATCAAAAGCTTTTTGAAAAAATAAGTAAAATTAAGAGATATAAAAGAGTTAAAAAGAAAAAGTCCATGTACATAGCCTACCGCCTCGTTGTGTTTTTTTATTCTAGATTTTTTTTTTATCTCTAAATACACTTGTCGATATTTGAATATTTGAATATAAAATGTTAAAAAAATTGTTTGTGCGCAACTCCTTATAAACTTATAAACTTGTATACTGGACGTGCAAAAGTATCTGGTGACGATAATGTACAGAAAAATACATCGCACGGATGTTGGCAACATCAAATGTTTAAATCGTTTTTTCCTATTATACAGGATCATACCGTTTGTCGCGGCGGACGCAGTGGTCGACGAACAACCGGCTCAGCTTTACGACAGTGACGATAATTATCAGCCAATAGTGGAACGCGTGTACAACGTATCGGAGGTCGAGGAAACTCCCGCGGCCGTCGTCAACAGTTTTTCCCCGCCCGTCGAGACTGAGGGTAAACTGATTTCCGATGTTAGATTTCAATAGTTTGAGCGGATTCACCGAGAGGAGGAAACCAGACTCCGTCGAATGGCAAAAAACCCGTAAAAATCTGGCCCGCAAAAGGACGAAACGCAATTCAAATCGTAATATTTTGCGTTCTGTATGTTTCGCAGATTTTTACGGTCCAGGATATTATACATGGACCCGCGGGAGTCTCGCATTTCCCCCATCACACAACAAATGCGGAATACTTCCGACACGATCACAGTACTGAAAAACAACATTCTGGTCCCGATTAATTTCTCGGCAATATTCGCTATCGTAAACCGCATATTTTAGAAACACTATGAGTCCACTTTTTCACTTCTTGAGACAATCAAAAAAAATATTTCGTACGATTCTAGAAAGGTTACTCTGAACTCCAGAAAATTACTGAAAAATAATTTACAATTCACTTTTTTCAGTGTCGATCAATGGCATACTGGGGAAAGGGGGATATGTATACTATTATTCGCATATACCTATGGGATTTCTGCAGTAAATAAACTCATTATTCCAGCTGATTTTTAAAATGTTTTCCTCATCAGTAACCTAAATCAGAAAATAATCAATACTCGTAGTTTCGGTTGTAATACTAATCGAGAAAGTGCAACGACAGAAATTTTTATCACATTGTTTTGTTGTGTTTATCAGGCGGATTCGTTCCGAAAGATCCTCCAGAAGGTGCGATCTACGTGCCGACGGATAAGTTCCGAACGACCACGGAACGCGTTAAAACTTCAGCCGTTCAGCTTCACGACGATCCCGTCGTGGAACATCGACCGACGAGACCCGGTGAGTTTACAGCGGTGGTTTCGATTTGTTTTTTAAAAAAACAAAAACATGTCATCCCTATGAAACGTTATAAACTCGAGATCGAGTTCAATGAGATAATTATTGCAGAAGTCATTTCGTTCGGTATACGAGTAATAATATTATTATCACATTGAGTTAGTATCACTGTTACCACCATACATAATAAGTATCTTTATAGAAGATCCGAGATGTATTGCATAAACTAAAACTTAAAGAGATACAGTTTTATTTTTGATACACGTATCTATGGTACTGCCCAACCCTGGTTATTGTATGTGGAATCATTAAAATCTCATTGACGACCACGTACAGAGGACTATCATACTAACAATATTTAAGGCGTGACGTATAGGCAATTTTGACCAAAATTTAGAGAGAGATAAAAATGAAAATCGATCGTCTCCAATATATTAAAATTCACTTTCGTATACGTTTAAACACGGCCGTGGATCCTAATCACGAGTGCATAAATCGTGAAAATTAAATGGGTACACAAATAGCTTTCATTAAATTACGAACACATAAGATGTGCAACCGATTCGATCGATGCGACCTTTTGCGTCGCGTTATATCGATCGCGTTTATTTACAAATGGTGTCGCGAAGATTTTAATTTATTATTAGATGGTATTTCTCATTTTTTATTCCACCATCATTTATTGTGATTTTATTATTTTCACTCGACAGTTTTTCATATTTTTGGGCACCATCACGTATAATTCGAGTACGTATTTCAACGGCTCAAAAGTATAAAACGTATCGCGGTCCACCGAGTATTGCTCGGTTTTTACCGTGGGCAGATACGCTAAATCACGCTCGTTTTCGAGATTTGTATAATAATCATGTGGTATTATGTCTATTATTATTATTAGTTCGAAAACGCTCGCGCTGTCATTCTCTTAAAACGGTCCAACTCGTTGTCGTTAAAACATTAAAAAAAAAAAAAAAAAAAAGTTATTCGTTCCGTTTGTATACGTACGAGATCTTGCTGTAATATTATTTTACAATTTTTATTATTATTTAAAAAAAAAAACAATTTTGACGGGTTATCTGTGCAGCGACGACGTTCTCTTAAATTTCGTATTATACTTAAAATAACGATCCGTCCGAACTCGTGTGTATTTATTATGAAAATGTTTTTCTCCCCCCCCCCTCTCATTTCCTATGCCCTGTCGTCTGCGTCGTCGTCATTGCCGTGATACTGTGCCAAATTATTCGATAAACTTGTCAACGTGCGCGCGCGTATACGAAAAAACCTCGAATCAACAGGACGTCATCGTACGCGTCCATCCTTTATTAAGGGGTCCTGAGAAAAAAAAAAAAATCTCCCAAAATCTGTTATCGGTTAAATTTTTTTTCGAACTAATGTACGAGTACTGTAACAGTTCCCGGATACAGAACGACGTAACAATACTTTTAATTTTCGATATTACGATAGTAATAATATGTTATAGGTCGGTATCGCACAGTGAATTGCAAAAATCACGATTTTCCTACAAAGTAAAAATCTCTTTGAAAATATTTTATACTTTGGTATATTTTTAACATGCCATTACATTATGCAATCAGTAATCGGTGATTGTGTTACCACTGAAAAACGTCGGTGATTGTGAAATTATTTTCTTTAAAAAAAAATCTTTAATAAAATGTATATACGGACAGACATTTCAAACGCAAAATCTCCGACAAAAAGTTACTCGTTCGAAAAAAATTAATTTCTATATTATTATGACGTTTTATTGTATTGACGTGTTTTTTTTTTTTTTTTAATCATTGCTACGGTATTTTTAGATTTTTAACGGAAATGAATATTTCATAAATAAATTTCGTTAACGACGATGACCTTAGACGATTACATTATTTACCTACGTTTTATATTTTATGTCTTATATAATTTTGAATGGTTTTTCCCCTCCTCCTTTCAGTTTGGTGCTCTTCCAACGGTAAGAAATACAAACACGGCGAGTTGCTGACCGACCCGAGCGCTTGCAACATATGCGTTTGTTTCAACGCCAAAATCGTCTGCCAAGAAAATTGTCCAGCCGTCAAAGTAGGCTGCCAGCGAGTTAGTGACCCGAACAATAGCACTTGTTGCGGTCGAATCGTTTGCAGTAAGTCACAGTGTTGAATAAATTGTACCTATAGACATAACGTTAAACGATAGCTGTACCGAAATCGTCAAGATATAGACGGGGATGACAAATATTTAAACATTATCCCGGATAAGACAGTGAATTAATCGTCAACAGATAAGCGGAATTTATCCGGACAACCGTTTTGCGTGGCCATTTGCCGGAGGACATTACGGCAGGGTGATCGAAATTTGAACGGTTAAAATAACTATATGTAAATGCAAATGGTGTAAATCTTTATGGAAATAGTAACTTCCAATTTTCAAATTTTCAAAACAGTTATACCGAAAGTGTAACTTATACAGTTATTAAATATTTGTCTATTATTATCGTTTAATAGATACGTATACATTTTGTTTATAGATGTAATTATCTATATAATTACCGAACAGATAATTAATCAGTCCGTCTTGAATAGCCTTAGATAGTTATCAGAATGTTTATTTAGATAGGCAACACAATAAAAATAAAACCATATACCGTTTATCTAGGAGAATTAGCCAAATGTTTCGATCCGATGGTGCTTTATTTATTTTCTAGATTCCCAACAGTTTTTCAAGAAAATTAACACACTAACAACGAATGACGGTGCGTCGGTTTCATTTCTGTCGATCGATCTGGTTTGTTCTTAGCTACAAGGGGGAAAAAAAAAACACGACCAATAGCATCCGCCGTGTAACTTTACCAGTTTACCGAGTTTCATTAAGCGTCGTTTTTTTTTTGTTTTTTTTTTTAATACAGCGATTCATCGTTGTTTTCGGCATGTACACTGAATCGTTCTCCGCAGTCCGTCTATACTTTCCGAACTTTCCATTTCAAAACAGCGTATCCTAGTACGCACAGTGCGCACATACACGCACATTTTTTTTTTTTTCGTATAGACGACACGTACAAAAAATTCGATTTATAAATTCGATTTTTCAAGAATATCGATACTATTTTCACTAGTAAAAAAAAAAAAAACAAACCATCGTTGGCACCGCAAAAGTCAGCGCGCGCGGTTATAGTTAACAGTGTATTTACGTGAATTCAACTGAACGGAAAAAACTAGAAAAAAATAAAAAAAAAAACACGCGCGAGTGTATAAAGGTAAAATATTTTTCGGAAGATCGATCGGGGCCCCACGCGCAGCGCGGTTCCAAGTGCAGGTGCACCATCGCCGGCGTGCCCTCGGGGGCGGCTGCGCGTGACGTGCGCGCGCGTTGATTACAGTTTTAACGTGATTTATTCGTTCACGCACGCGAGATAATAATAAATAATAATAGAAAAGGGGAATTTCGAGTCATTAGCGCCCCGCGCGCATTGAACACCGAAAACCGACATTAATTATTGCCATTATTGTATATGCGCGGGTTTTCGCGGATTCCCCGATGAGAACCGGGTGCCGGGTTAAAAAAACGAAAAATAGCCGACACTGTTCTGACAGGCGTGCCGCTGTCGCGAATGGGAAGCCGGGAAGACGGGATGTATAAAGTCGTCTTATATACGTCAGTACGTGACCTCCCCGACGCACCGACAAGACGGCATTCGCTACCAGAAACCACCCGTAGAGTATCGGACTGTCGGAGTAAGATTTCTTATAGGAACGGTGTCAATAAACGGAAATAAAAAAAAAAAAGAGAGACGCTCAGAATCTCGAACATAAACCGAATTCACAGAGGAGTAGGTTGTTTACTCGTTGAACACACACACACACACACGTTAGATTTTCCCTGTAACGACACTCGATTTGAAAAGTTTGACAAAATTAAATGACAACCGGTTTGTTCTTCTTGTGGCCTTTACAACCCTCTAATAGTGTTCACCGACAAAACAACGCCGCGCCGTCTGTCCCTGCTCCGCGCCACAATTGTCCCGAAATCTTCTAATCCCAGATTCTTTAGGTCCACTTCGAGAACGTCGGCCCGCCTTCTGGGCCCCACTGCAAGACGTCTTCCCCCGAGGCTTCCGTTCTAGCGCTGTTCTATTCAGTTCCGTTTCTCTCCAAAGTTTCATATAATATTTAGTCGTGTTTAACGGTAAATTTTAAACGACGATCAATTTATTGCGATTTTTGTGTCCGCAGCAGACGGTCACGAAAACGAAATCACCACGGAACGTAACGGCGTTAGATTTACCGAGATCCCGTCCGAGACGAGTACGCGGAAAATCCCGCCGCGGGATCCGACCGTAGACCGTGTCGTTTATTCCGTACCGACCACTGACGGACCGGCCGCAGCAGCCGTTTCGACGACGATGACGTCGCCGACGGCCGCCACGAGACCTGCCCCAGAACCGGCGACGGCGCAAACGGCCAAACCGACGGCGCGTCCGACTTCCGCGGCTCCGACCGTCGTTTCCAACGTCGCGCCGTCAACGGTTCCGCCGACTTTTTTGCCCGTCCAACGCGTAGAAACCGCGACGGCGGCGGCGGCGACGACGACGACGACGACTACGACTACCGAGAAACCGCCGGCCGAGGACGAAGACTACAGCAGTTTCGAGAGCATGTTTTCGTTCTTGTTCAACGGCGACGCGCCCGCGGAACCGCCGTCCCCGTCCGGCGCCCCGCCGTCGCCCGCGGCCTCGGCGGCTCATCGCAATAATGCGGCCGTGACGGAGACCCGCATCGAACACCGCACGGACGACGAGATCGACGACAAAATCCGTACGGACGACGAGATCGACGACAAAGTCCGCACGGACGACGCGAGACCCGCGGCGGACAGGGATCGACACTCGCCGGACGGAAAACGCCACGACGGCGACAAAGCCGCGGAGCCGCCGTTGGTGCGGGACGCGCAGAAAAAGCCCGCCAAAGTCGAATCGCCGAACGCCGAAACCGACGGCGGCCGTCCGGCAAATTCCGGCAACGGACCGCAGCGCGCCGAGGCCGAGGTCAAAACGCGTTTCGACGTCAACGAAAACGCTCAGTTTTTGCATTTAAGCGACAACAACAATAGGCGTGCCGAGGTGGCGGCAATGCCGCCGTCGTCGCGTCCGCACCATCCGCAAACCGAAGTGAAATCGCATTTCGACGTCCGAGACGAACCGCCTCACCGTCATTCCGATCCGGAGGTAAACGCGGTACCCCCCGCGGCGGACGCCGACTTTAAACGGCCGTCCGGGAACAATAACAACAACAACAGAAAACCGGCACATTCCGACCACGTCGGTAACGTGAACAAGGAGCGAATCGGTCCGACGGGTTCGGGTCTCGACAAGAACAACCGCCCCGAAGTCGAACATTTGCACCCGTATTCCGCGAACCATCTGAACCGTCAGCAGCAGCAGCAGCAGCAGCAGCAACAGCAACAGCAACCGGAACGGCCGGCCGCCGGAACGAAAGCAAACGCGAAACCGCCGAAGACCAAAACGGACGCGGAGTTCAATCCGGTGTTGGCGTCCCTGCTGAAGATATCGGGGTGCAACATTTACGGGCGCATGTACAGGGTGGGCAAAATAATCGCCGAACTTTCGACGCCGTGTCTGGAGTGCATGTGCACGGAAATCGGAGTACACTGCAACCAACTGAAATGTTGATGCGAAGGGCCGACCACACGTGGAAATTACAAATCCGTATAATATAAATGTATTTGTATTATTATTATTATTATTTTTTTTTAATTTTTTTTAATTTTTGTTCTATTCGTAAGGCGTTCCTAGCTTACGCGCTATCGCCACGTCCGTTTTCGAAACATTTTGTTTATCGATTGAAAGTCAAAAAGAAATTTCGTTTTTTAAACATTCAAAACCACGTAGCCGTTTTTCGCCGTTATAAAATCGTGCGATCACAGTATTGCGCGTTCCGTGTCGCACAAACGTTCGTCGACAACATGCGTAGCCGCAATACGTTTGATAATTCCGCGTGGAGTTCGTTTGGATACAAAGTTGAAAAAAAAAAGCGGCGATTATTAGTATTATTATTATTATTTTAACGATTAGGTACGCGTTCGTTTATTCGTTCCGTTTTATGTTGTTGCGGTTAAAGTTTTTTTTTTTTTTTTTTTTTTTTTTTCGGTTTCGATGGGCGGACATAACACAATAACTATTGTACAGCGAAACGAAACATGGATATCGATAGCCTGTAAACATTGTGATCTCTTGTCAATTAATCAAATTTGTACGAATTAAATGTTAGAAACGTTTTAAGTATATATAATATTATTTATAGTAGATGTACAGGGTGTCCTACGGTGTTATCCGTTCATGTTTAATAACTCTGTCAATATTTATTTATTTATTTGTTTTTTTTTCTTTTTTTTTTTTACATTTTTTTCAATCGGGTTTTCTGCGGCGGGACGTATGCGTAGAGAAAAAAAATTGAATTTTCATTTTCGTCCCTTGGTCGCCGGGCAAAATGACAATTCAAAGTTTTCAAAACAGCCATTTTGAAAATGCAGATGTCACACGTTCGCGCCGGATCAATATAGTTTCTTAGTTATAGCGGCTTTATTGTATAGAAAACGGCCGTGAAAATTATGTTACGTTAACGATTTCGGAATAATATATTTCAATGCATAATGGCCGTTTTGAAAAGCGATAAAATAGAAATTCCTTTTTTTTTTTTCTTTCGATAATTACGGGACGAAAATATTATTTTTATTGTTCTCTACACGCGTGTTGCCCTCGCACAAAACCCGATTGAAAAAAAAAAAAAAAAAAAAATGAAAACGAATATCGACAGAATTATTATAGCACCATAAGGATAACGTAGTAGAACACTCAGTATTGTGCAATAAGGTTTTATGATATTACTTTTATTAACTAGGCATTATTCGTTTTTATTATGTTTGGTTTGTGTATTGAACGCGTATAGTCGAATTAAAAAAAAAAAAAAAGAAGAAGAAAAATATAAAAAGACAACACCTGAGATAAGGATTATCGGTATGAAATTAATAGTTATAGATAATAATTTTTAGTTCAAGTAGTTGTATTGGAATTTTTTATTTATTATTATTATTAATTTTTTTTTCTTTGTTAATATATATAAATTTAGTTTTAGTTTTACAAACAAGAAAAAGAAGAAAAAAAAAAAACCACACAATTATTATATTTTATTTTAGGCAATGGATGTGTTAGTTTTAAACGAGCGTATTGTTATAATACGTTCTTGAGATAACGCGCCGAAAATCGAATTTTAACAATTATTAATTAAGATTACGTTTAATAAGAATATATTATACGTATTAATAGAATTATCATTATAGAATATTATATCGTTTTGCCATACGTAATTATTATTATAATTATACGTTTTTTTTTTTTTTTTTTATGAAATCATTATAATTACCCTTGAAAATATATTATTGAAATACGTGTTACTTTCTATAATACGTACAACATTATTAATAGGACAACAAGTTTACAAGTACGTTATTATATTATACGTGTATTAAACAATTATCGCTTGTGAAAATATGTGTAGATTGATTGTTTTTTCTGTGTTTTTAATTTACAAAAAAAAAAAATAATAACAATAATAATTTTTCCTATTTACATAAACGCTTGTCACGAAAACGGTATAATTTTCAATTTCGAGTCTGAGGAGCGGTGGACTAAAAACGAAAAAACCGCAGACGAATATACTTCGCACGTGGGTGCAGCTCTACTGTTGTTGTAGGCGAAAAGTTGGAGTGGCGGATGGGAGATTCGACGATGTATATCTGTACGCAACGGTTAACCATTGTTAGCGAAAAACGATTCCGAGAGCGGAGTCGTTTAATACTGTACCTATTATTTGCCCGTTTTTCCCATTTATTTGGGAAAATCAAAAAAATCACCTCCCAGAAAAAGCGCTGTGATTGTGAATCGGATCAAAATTTCCGGCAGGAACGTGTTTGTCTCGCGTGTAAAAATAAAATAAACGCCATTGTATAAAAACCGATACGAACCGCGCTCCGCTCGGAATCCAAAACAAAAAAAAAACTATCGGTAACGAATCGTAAAACGATAATCGGCGAAACAACGGGCAAATTATTAATCTTTACAAACGGACGTACATTGTGACGCGCGATATCGCGTGTTCGTGTCCGTTGTAATTTAACAAAACGAAACAATAACATAGCAGACGACGTCTGTGTTTCGTACGAGTGTAATGCGAATCGAGTGAGTGCTCGTCGAGCGGATATGGTACGGTACGGGCGACTGTTTGTTGTGGAAAACGACAAGATGGTTTCTATTTTTGCGGGTGTTTTTTTTTTTTTCTTCGCCGTGTTTTCGTCAACAACAATCGGACAAATGGCGTCGTCGCCTTTTTTCCTGCGCCGCCCGAGAGAATTCCCCGTGACCGTGAGCGAGCGAACGCGTGTACCGGACACAATAACCGCAGGCTTTAAAGTTTTCGTAAATTATCGGTGAAACGCGGTGAAACGCGCGACCGGTGAAGTTGTCGTTTCACGGTGCTTCCATCACCGGCCCGGCGGTATGTTCGCGTTTCCGATCTAAACAACGGCAACGGTAATGCGTTTTATTACAGTTTCTATAACCGTGCTCCAGACTATTGCGCCGGGTACGGCTAAATTTCATCTAACCGCTCCCGCTTGTCCGTGCCCCAAAACGAATCGTAGAAACTACCCACACAAACTTCGAGCGTGACTTCTTGTTGGTGACTGACAAGGAACACGTCCGTTTTCCATCCCGATCGTACGCGCACGTTTCGTCGTCATCAATGATATTCAAAGGAAATAGTACCGAATAAAACAATAGTTAAAAAACGTTCGAAATGTCGTAGACACATTATGCATTAAACGTTTCAGCGTACCTAACCGTGTGACATAATAAAATATTAATTTATGTTCGTAAATAGCCGATACGTTTCCATGTTCGCACACAGTTATAATAAAATACACGCAAATATATGCAGTGACTCGTCTGATAAAAAAAAAAAAACTCACGTATACTTTATATTTTATAATATTATTCTACCGCTTCCCGCGGTTCAATTTTTAATCTGTCAATAACCCGCGGCGGATTCAAAGGGCAGTAGTTTTTTAATAATTTTATTTCATTAACATGAATGCGAATCGAAGTCGTAAAATATAAAATATCTTCTCACGCGTTCTGAACCGTATACGGTTATAATAAGTTACGACTTTATAGAATTACAATACGGTACAGCTGGTATAGCGACACAAGCTGACAGTTGCGGTTGTATACATACTTTCTTTGTGTATGGTCACTCGAGTAAATATATAATGTAAACGCTGAAAAGCCACGCGCCTCTACTTTTATTCGTGATATTCTTCACGAGACGGCCAGTATGAAAAAAAGGCTCAGAACGGGACTGTAGCCCGATCAACCGTACCCGTGCGCGCGCCTGTGATGGTTTCTTCAATTGCCTATTACAGTACTCTCCAGCTTTGCGGTTGAAATCTATAATGTTGCCGCGAAGCACCAATTTTAGTACATCACGCTGCTGCAATCTTTCAATTTCTATTTTATATATTATTATACTGCAGGTACATTAGTGTTGCCACTACTGCGAATATTGTACACTAATAACCGGGGCCGAGGACTTGTGGCATTCGCGTATTTGTTGTACAACACGAAACAAAGAATAATAAACGAGTACGTTTTAGGCCGACGCGAAACCGGATTCGAAATTTTATTTTGCACGCATAAATGCGTTATTTGAGATTTTCGTTTTCGTTTTTAGGACATGTTTATTCTGTTTTGTCGTTTTTTAAGACATATTTTGTTATTACACTCACAATATTATGACCGACGACGTTTTTATTTCATTCACGAATATAACCGAAATTGTCAGACTTAAGAAAAATACATTTGAATGCATTTTTCATTTCCCCCCCCCCTTTAATATTATGACTATCGATTGTTTGCGGTCGCAGGTTTTCGCTAAAGGAGCTCGAGAATCGTTGATTAATTAATTAATTTGCAATTTATTAAATGCAATCCAATATCCATAGATATCTGACGACTGTTTACGGTGTGGTTTACCGGCCACTCCGGTCCACGCGCCCCACGGCCAATATTTCGTTATGTTATTATTTTAGAATTGAAAAAAGTATCCGCGAGTGTTAATTATACGCGAGTAAAACAAATTCAGTATAATGTAAATACAACAGCAATTTGAGTATTTGATGACTTTTTGGAGCTACAAGTCTTCTGCCCAAGTAACAATAAAAACTTAATGAACATGCTAAAATAATCAATATGACGTAATATTATATTGTAAGTACAATGATATATGTGTATAGAATCTGCTGAATATTTGTATTTAAATTTAAAAATCAAAATTATACGAACGTTCAAATGAAAACACCGGAGATCTTATAAATATCTACGAAAAAAAGAACGTAATTTCTTGAAAATGAATTTTGAGGCTACAACGTTGAAAAAAAAAAAAAAAAAAACCCAAAGCGCCTAACATTATATCAGTAATATATTCACCGATCATATTATGTTTCGTTCTATCTGGATACCTTATTGCGCGATACGCAAAATATAGATACGTGCCCGGTCAACAGCAAATAACAAATACGCTCAGAATGTAAAATTTAAAAACGTAAAATAAAAATAATACCGAATAAATTTTACTACCAATTAGATGTTTTTTTTTAGAAAAAAAAAAAAAAAACCTACAAAATAATACGTAACAATAAAACGTTTGATAATAATTTCGTCCGTATTAATAACCGGCCGGAATGCTCGTTTCGCATGATGAGTCATCGTATAAAAAATTGTAAACCCGAGTACATATACTCATTGAAGAAACGTGTTATTTTTACGTTTTTTTTTTCGTGTACACGGATATTATAATTTATTCTCGTTATACTTTTGATTTTTGATCGATAATTTTTTGCAGACTGTACAAGGTATTAATATTATTTTCTCTAATAAAATACTCGTGTGTAGGTTTTAAATGGTACGAGAGCGATAGTGTGGTATAAGTATGATTCACTTGAGAAAACTTTTTTTTTTTTTTCATTTCGTCATATTTGTATATAATATACGCTGGTTTTTATGATATTTTTTGTAACTGCGCATTAATAATATTACTAACATTTTTTTTTTTTTTTTTAATACGTTCATTAAGTAAATGATTCGTTCTGCCGTGTAAAATTAATGCAATTACGTTTTAATGTTTTGGAAAAAAAAACCATGCACTTTTTTTATGCCGGTATCCCGCGTCAGCAGAACACATGATAATGTTGAAAATTATGAATTAATTGAAAATCCGAAGTCCAAAAACATTAGAAATATATACTGAATCTGCGAAATTCCAAAATCTGTTTCTCTAAATTGATAGTGGGTATTTATTCAAAGCTGAGTAGCGACTAGTGAAGTCAAGTTAAAAGTTGCTTAACTATAGGTTAATTTTTTTGGTATCTTTACTAGTAAAATAAACAAACGAATAATATGATTTTAAAAACGCTAAAAACGCCGAAGTAATAAAAGATCACCAAAACATCGAGTTATGCAACAAAAATATTTTGAATTTCACGATGGTCCGAAACAAATTTATAATCTAATTAGGTGTCCTCGAGATCTATTAAAACGAATACACGAACGCTACAAGTTTAGAACCTTTAATTGATATAGCGATTCATTATCTTATCAATAATCATATATCAAAACGTCGGTATTCGAGTCAATAAAATACTAAATATTAGAATAAAAACGCATTTATAAGTGTATAATATAGTTAAGGATAATTTCAAAAGAGTAATAACTTTCCACATAACTAGACTATTGTTTTAAAAATTTGAAATTACTAAAATTATTTATTATTTGAAAGTTAACTTGAACTCGACTGAGTTTTTTTTTTTAGGATAACTTAACGTCAAATAATTAACGAGTTTAAGAAAATGTGTTAACCCGTCCAACTTTGTGGTTATTTATCAGTTTCGATCGGAATTCGGCCTTAAATTAATAGATGTTAATAATAAGCATTATTAATACTTAATACACTACAGCTGTCTGAGTTGGTTTTTGTATTAATCTCTCCGATTATAATTAACTGACTAGTAGTGTACGATTTTTTTTTTTCTAAATTTGTAATGACCTATATAATACAAATACAAGTAGTATTAAATTAGACGTTCGTATTATAGCACGTTCTATGCGTCACGATATCCTTTATTTTTAAACACGGCAACTATATAATATAATTTGATTATAATATTATCGTATAGTTCTGAAGTGCAGCAAAATAAAATACAATTTTAGAATCCGTTTCGTGCGGACGTCGATAGAAAAAATATCAAATTATGCTGTGCTGTTGATGAATTATACAACAATATCAAGAATAACGAATATAATTGAAAATTCATTTTTGAAACAAACGAGAAAAATTATTGAAAAAAAAAAAATGTTTGATATGCAAAAAAATTTGCATATATCATAGATAAAATTAAAAAATGAATCGACCGATGAAACAATAATTTTTTTTTTTTTTTATTTAACTATAGACAATAATTAATGTATTACAATGACGATCAGTCAATAATTGAAAATTAGATTTGTGTGCGCCAAAATACAAAATATTATAATTGTATACTGTATACCCGATTGTTTATTAAACTCACACTGACGGTACTAACCACCGCGCACTGTTCAGATCTCGCATAAAAAATGCACAATATAGGCAACACATCATACCGATTTTCGATAACGTCGCGTAGGTACACAAATTATTATTGTATTTTTTTTTTTTTTTTTTTTATCAGGACGTCGCACGATCAAAGGGGTCGTGTTTAGGCAACTTTAACGACATTTCAAAAAATAAAAAATACATGGAAAATTGATCGATCCGAAAACACGCGAATTCACTTTCAAATAAATATCCAAGTATTGATAACATTGTCATTTGTCCCGTGTAATCGAGAAAATTTGTTCGAAAACACGTTCACAAGTAAAACAAAAAAAAGAAACAAAAAAAAAAAAAGCCCAACCTAAGCCTCATACAGTGTTTTGGTGTTGCTCATAAATTATGATTTTATTTTAGATTTCTACACGTAAGTTTAGAATGAGTCTTTATATTTCCGTTGTGCCCGTCCGTGCGTATTGTTACTAGTACACAGTTATGGTTGACGATTCGATTGGCGAGTAGATATAACGTACAAGGTGATCCGATCAAGTGAGTACACTCATTATTATCTCGAAAAGTATTGATTTTATTCGGGAGTTGTTTCACAATATAACATTCAAGAAACAAGCGGCCCCACGATTTTACATTTGCGCTATTTTTTATCAACCTTATTTTTATGGGTAAAACCGCTACACCTATTTTTGATTTTTAAACGGCAATCTATAATAAAAATTCCATAAACAAATGGACTATCAATTAAAATAAATATTGGATATTGAAATTATTGATTTCCGCCGATCTGTTGCCGAGACGTTTCACATTTAAGTATGAGTCGGTTGAATGTAGTAGATCATCGTTTGTATGACGGTTTGTCTTGCGCCGCATGAATATATTGCACCACTACTATGCACCTCTACTCAAACTTAAAAGCAAAGTATCCAATCAATGGGTCGACGGAAATCAAAAATGTCAACACCAATATTTATTCTAATTAATACTCCATCTATTCGCGGAACTTACGATATAAGTTGTCGTTTAAAAATCAAAAGTATATAATGGATTTAGCCCCTAAAATGATGGCGATTAAAAATAATATAAATGTAAAATTGTGTAGTTGCTTGTTCCTTAAATGTTCTAGGTATACAACAAATCCCAAAAACGAGTTAACGCTTTCCCAGATATTGAGTGTAACCGCTCAAATTGATCACATGATATATGTATTTAACGAAAATTCATAGTAGCCAATATTTAAAAAAAACATTACGTACCAGAATTTAATTAATAATTATCAAGTATAGTACCTAAAGAATTATAAAAAACTTCGCGTCAACTACTTACAAATTAAGATTTTCAATTTAGTTAAGTTATACGTAAGTGTGTAATACCTATACTATAATAGGTTAGCAGATTCTTTCAAAATTATAGTTTGTTGTTTAAAATACGTTTAGAAACCGGTCGAGCTTTTGCACGCTCGCCGAGTGGGCCGTTCTGACTTGTTTTTCCTTAAAACTCTAGGCGCTTAATTTTCTGTTGGATATTTTGAAAAATGCCATGGATAAAATGTTTTAAAAATAGGCGTTTCTCTCGAAAATCTTTTAGACACAGGTTAACCTAATTTTGTCGGTTATTTGGTGAAACGTAATGTATTATATGTTTTACCAAATAAAATCGTCGGTATGACGTCATAATTATTTTTTAAAGATACTGGTCACAAAAAAAATATCAATAGCAATAATGACGCGTATTATCGTTTCGATATTTATATTCGTATCAATAAGGTAAATATTATTATATTTTGTTGAATGTTTCACAAAAATAATACTACATATTAATATACAAACCCGTTTGCGATGCATTGGTTATTATCATACCGCAGTGCTGTCGCATTAATCATGTGTACTACAGTCGTTTGCAATGTCGTTGTTTTCGGAACGAAAATGCAAAGTGATCACTCGTTAGAAAGGTAAAAACAAATAATTGCATTCCTATAAGTGCATACATTTTAAATTTCGTTTTTCTATTGGAACGCTGTTTATAAAAAAAAAATAATTTTTTTGTGGACCTGAACAAAACAGAAATTATGTTTATGTAAACCGAAAATGTCAAATAGCGTTTGAATATAGTAAACATATTTTGTAAACAATATCTGTGCCCTGCGTAATATAAAAAATGCTAATTTTCGATGAAAATTTGAGCAGATTTCCGCGATTTATCACTGAGATAGGTTGGTAAATTTAAAAAAAAAAAATACTGTAATACTGGTGTCGCGTTAATTTCCACGGTTTTTTTTTCGGCTCCCGAGGGAAGAGGAAACCTCCTCACTACGTACAGACAATTATAAGAAACTATCACTACACCATATTGATATCAACCAATATTATTTGTCTTCGATATTCGGAACACATATTTCGAGTATCGAACAAAAATTCGAACACTCTTATCGCCGGTCTTCAAAAAATCTTAACATATTTGACGGCAAAAATACAAAATAACAATATTTTTATATCATTTTCGAGACAGGGGAAATTGCAAAACCATCATTTCGGATGGGACCACGTTGCGAGTTCTCGTCGTCGGTATCGGATAAAAAAACCGGATAAATCCGATTTTAACACCGCGGAAAGATCTAAAACGCATTCCAATGAAAACGCAAATTGATAAATGTACGGCGGGAAACGTTTATAAGATATTGTGAAAAAAAAAAAAAAAACAAAACAGTAATATAGCACGCACAGTAGTGCAGTATTATGCTTGTGTGTATACAATAATATTTCCGTGACTATGATCTATAGTGTTTGTTGTTGTTTTTTTGTTTTTTTTTTTTATAAATTTTGATAAGTCACGATCTTCTATGTGTATATTATGCGTGTTCTCAGACATCGCATCGGATGATTATGTATAGTATTTTTTTTTTCTTCCACGCCCGTATACGCATTATATTATATTGTATATAGTGTAATAATAGTACAATTTAATATTATACACACACACACACACACACACACACCACCTATCTATATTGTAATAATATGTCCGCGGAGTATAAAGGACTTCTATAATATTATAATATGATCTTGTGATGTTCACGTATATGTAGAGTCCGACCCGTTTAATTCTCGAATATCAACACATGTATATGGGTTGATATATACCAGGTAGCGTATTTACGGACCCTATCCTGGCACAGCGACCGATCTAGAGTTGAATTTTTATTGGTGGACGGGGGGCCTTTAAAAAAAATATTACTACCAAGAGCTGGTACTGAGGCTGGGTGCAGCCACTGTTGTAGGTGGAAAGTTGAGAAGGTAGAACGCGATGAGTTTATTTAAAATTTATATATGTACGCACCGATAAGCTATTGTTAGTTTATTTTTTGATCGGAGTAAGATTTCTGGTTGAAAATTCGTTCGCAGATAAAAAAAAAAAAAAATTGAAAATTAAAAATACTTCATAGTACAATCATCAATACACTCATCGCTACGCTCTGATTTTTTCTCTTGAAAACCTCGTGATACGCGTTAAACAATTAATTGTTTGTAGAAGTAAAGACTTGTGTACATTCTACAGTCGGGGAGCGAGACCCTTGGGCTTTCCCTCTCTCTGGATACGCCACTGTCCAGGCGCAATCCGAAATGTAACTGCGTCGGTTTTAGGCGTTTCGCAAAACGCAACCTATACGTTTGTCCGAACCTGGCACCTGAGCGCCCGGGGAATTGGCGTCCCGGGTGTAAAACCCAAAACCTATATTAACACTGTACATTCGATGAAAATCCACCGGGGGGCTCGGGCAAAACGCGGGGGAAAACGAAGTGACTTAACCCGCCTGCCGGACGGCGTTGGACTGTCGACGGCGACGTTCCGAGGGAGTTTATGTCCCGAGTGTAGAACCTTGAAACCCGGTAACGACGGAAAACCGCGACGCGTTTAATACGCCCCTTTGCCGCTCGGGCCGAACTCGCGTACGGTCTGTAAATACGCTACCGGAGTTCCCGTCGCCCATCAGTTAGTCATAATAATAATAATAATAATATCGACCGACCAAACGAGGCGGTTCGTATATAATATTATAATAACACACGGGCATTAATATTGTATATTATAATTTACAACGAACGTCATCCGTACGTCACTGCCGGGCAGCCGCACTTACCGCCGGCACTGTCTGCTTGTCAGCCGTACGCCCGTGTACAATAACGTGCGTGTGTCTAATATCGCGGTGTGTGTGTGTGTGTGCGTGTGCATGTGCGTGTGTCTAATATCGCGGTGTGTGTGTGTGTGCGTGTGCGTGTGTGTGTGTGCGCGCGCGCGCGTGTGTGTATAAGTACACCGTGGAAAAAAAGCGATTCGTTGTTTGTATAATATACGTATAGGTATACAGCCGACGCGAACAAAGACGGTCATTGTGATGTAATGCGATATTATAAAATTCGCCGCATACAAACGACGGGCATTGTTGTCGTAAGCAGGCATAGGTACATAGGTACAGGCGTATTACGTAGCGGTAACACGTAGGTGGGCATATCGGCGCATCTTCGCGGCAAGTGACGACCGAGAGACGAGACCGGACCGAAAGTGTGTTGAACCCGTTTCGCGGAGAATTTCGCGACCGGGACTCCCGCCGACCGTAGGCCCATCGCGAAGGTTTCCCGAAGGGAATCTCGAAAGTTTGGGGATCTCCGCGAAGGCGTAGAGACTCGTGACCCGGAGTGACCGCGCGAGTTCAACACCGTGATAATACAATTGACGGACGTGTCGGAATTATTTTCACCGACGTACTGGCCAATTCACCATACTGTACGGGTATCTATAGCAGGGCCGTGTCCAGGTTGGGGGGGGGGTGCCCACGCAACGGGCACTAGGACTACGGAGGCGCCAACGAAAATTCGTAAGTTGTATTCTGATTTTATTGTAAATTTTTACGATAAACGTGCGAGTTGAACGTGAACGCCCGACGGATATGTTTAGCTTCTCTATTTTTTCGTACATTTTTCTGGCACCGAGTGCCGATTTTGCGGTACTCTATAGCCTAACCACAACTAGAAATTCCGTCGTCTTATACCGATCTATGAATAGATACAAATTTTCTCGTTGGATCCACAAAAAAGTTTTTCTACAATCAACCTATAGCGTGAAAAAACTTCTTTGAGCATGTTGATAATATAAATTGGACAAGCATATTTAAGACAGCAGAGATTGATTTAAAATTCTAGAGTATTTTGCATAATACACGTAACGTATAAAACGTATGGAAACTAGAAAACTTTATAATCCATATTAACTCGACAACAACTGTCAAAGTCCCGAGAGGTGTAAGACAAAGATGTCTACTATAATTACACACTGTTCAACTTATAATATCATTTATGATCGAAGTATACCTTGGTTAGATCCAGAATTAACGGGGATGAAAATAAGAGGAAATACACAGCCTTGTAACCAATATAACAGTATAAAGCACTCAATCAAGAGAAAAGCAAGTACTAATGTCAAATAATTAATCAAATAATGAAACTGGAGTTAATAGTTCCTATAAAAAGCTAAAGACTATGGCAAACGGTAGAAATGTGGTTATGAAAAAATCACGTTATAAACCAATTCTAGAATTGCAAAACTAAATAATAATTTCCATTTACTAATCCGCTAATCCACGGTTCACCTTCCGTAATCTATAGATTTTTTAGTTATGTTTTCGGCGACATGCATAAAATGTTTTAATTGTACCGATAATTTCACTATGGGCCATCGCCCGAGTGCCCCTCGCGGCCTAGCCCACATACGCCACTGATGGGTAAATCCCATAAATTGTATACATTAGTCGTAGAAAAACACTTTAATATTCAATGGTCGGTTTGGTCGGGTTCGGTGACACGGCGGGTTTCTGGTACAGTCGACAATAAAAAAATAAAAATATTTTTGGCCTTGTATTCCCCGTCCGTCATCACAGTAAAGACTCTCCGTCAAGACCGACGGATCCTCGACCGCGACGCCCGGTCGAAAAACGGTCTCCGACGGCCTACGCGTATAAGCATACCGGAACGTGTGTGTGTGTGTGTGGTCCGTTTTAGACGTGAACGAGACGAGTAAAACGACATTTGAATTAACGATAAAAAACGACGTTTCGCGTTTCATAATGTTTACAAAGGTTACCTAGTATAAAATACAAAACATAGTCGCATACCGAAACCGGCACGCCATTTCAGTCGTAACTCGTCACGAATTCTCACCGGAACCAATATGCATATTACGCGGCCGCGTTTTCTACACGTGGTGGCGCAGTTTTCGAAACGTTCCGCGACACGTCAAACGCGAACACAATATCACCACTGTTCCGGTCAAACATCACGCTCGCGTTATTTCGTTTTTCCTTCGATGTCCGGTGTACCGACGCGCGCGTCCCGCGTACGGGTCGAGTAAATGGGGGAAAAGTGCGCCGAATCGCGTTCACGTCGCTACACGTTGCAACGGGGGGCACTTGTAACCGCGGTTGTTCGCGTTCGGATTACCGCTGCATAATACACGTGTATATGAGGGAGGGTTATATCGCCTCCCCTGCGCATCACCGCAATACACGCGGCATTGTCTATAGTTATCATTACCGTTGTTATTGTTGTTAAACCCTGTGGGCACGGCGGCGGAGACGCGGCACCGTTCGTGTGTTTCGTTATTGTAATCAAAGTCGCGGTCTGGTTCGAACACAGCGGCGGACGCTTCTCGGTCGCCGCCGTCGTCGGGCGACTGTACGGATATAATAATATAACATAATGTAAAACACGTCCTACGGTAAAATTAAAGAATATATATTACAAAAAAAAAAAAAAAAAAAAAATGAAAAAATGCATTCTTCATTATACTCCGCCTGCACAATACAAATATAATTAACTGTGAATCAACAAGTGCCCAATGGGTGTACGGGCCTTTTGTCCGACGACGACGACGACGCGCACACCAGCCATCGTATACCGCAGCTACGGATATTGTATAAGCAAACATTATTATTATTAAAACGACCGACTGCTGTTTTACGGCTACCTACAGTTCCTCCCGTCGCCTATACAGCCCAGTGTATTTTATTAAAATATTAATGGAAAAAAAAAAAAAAAAAAATTTGAAACAAAAATTAATATGGGTATAGACGGGATATATTTTGCTTTACCGTCAATTAAACCGTGAAGAGGTTCGACTGCCTGTCGATAATTTTCCATTTGTTTTTTCGGGTTCGAACACCCGATAATAGGCACACTAAAAAATAATAGGAAATACCTATACCGATTTCGGATTGACGCGTTCAACAAGACGTATATTGTTAAAACGATAGAAACAATGTGTAGGTACGACGGAGTTTTTTAAATTATAAAAAAAATAAAATGTATAGTATATTATTATTACGGCTTGCTCCGATACGACCTCGCCGTACAATCTTGGAGTTTTATCACCGGCACACAATTTAGAAGAAAAAAACAATATCATCCGTTCCAATCCACTTGGGCGAGTAATCATAACGACGATCCAAACGGAAACAATCGAAAAACTATTTATTGCGCTAAACCACTCGTTTAGCCATTTAGGATTAGTAATTATTTGAAGCGAAAGAAAAACAAAACCTACGGTCTCTATAATTTGTGAGCCGTGACAATTGAGTAAATTGGTAGTGACTTGCAGCCGTGTAAATACTTAAACATTTCTCAAAACATAACAATAAAAATCATACGCTAACTGTGTACGTTGCGGGTGTTTTATGCATCGTATTACTGTACGCTCCTTGTACAGGATACTGCTCATGGCCACTGTTGTCGGTGGGAAGTTAGGAATTCATGATACATATTGGGTAATTTAATTTACGCGACGATAAATCATTGCTAACGAAAAACGATCGTGAAAAAAGTTGGGTTAATCCGTAATCGTGTTTTGATAAATTTAAATTCAAAATCTTATTAGTTTGTAAAACTAAAATGATGTCCGTGTTTTTCTTTTTTGAGCGATTAACACAGTTTTTATCAACACGTAAAACCGAATAAATACTTAACAACTCAACAATTTTAAATGGCTATAAATACCTCAAAAATGACCTCATTTACATGGTACCATACATTATGTTATTGCAGTCGCTGAATCCTAGTTTCACGATAAAACAAGCGAAATTGAAAATGTGTCCAATTTTCCGAACGAAGAAATACTACGAAACATACATTAAACGGTTTGGATTGTGAGTGGTATTTCGAAACGGATTGTAACCAATATGCCGAACGGTATATTTGGCCGAAAAAAAGAAACAAGGACTGCAGTTGAAATTGTTCAAAATTACACGAGATTTAAATTCGAAAAAACGCTCATAGTAAAAAGTGTAAACACGAGTGGGTCGCGTTCACGGGTGTTAGCGCGAATGTCGTATACGAATGAAATAGCGGCCACTTCAAGTACATAAATCTCGATCCGTGTACACAAAATCGAGTTTCGATCTTACGTGTTTACGACTGTCAATAACTATAATAATACGGTACCTATACAGTACCCACCGCTCAAGTTATATACGAAAATGAGTTAACGGTTTGTTTTGTCCTCATCTCCGTCCCGCGCGCAACGTTCCCACAGTTTAAAAAGCGGCGGCGGCGGCGGCGACGGAGTCCGGTGATTTATTCGACGAAAAAAAAAAAAATCGTTATAATACAATATTATTATTATTATTACGCGTTTAATCACATACCGCGTTACTGGTAAATACCGCACCTATATATATATATACGATATATATTTATCCGAACCGCGGTGCGCGGCGCATTATATAAATCCATAAAGAGCGTATTTGTTCGGTCCGCCCTCGGGTACCTACAAAACCGTTTGACACCGTCTCTTTATATTATTACACTACATGCGCGGGTTTTCGAACAACACGACACTGGTCACAATTTATACTGTGCGGTTCCACCGTCTGCACCAGAAAAAAAAAACCACCTGGTTCGGTTATATTATTGCTGTTGCTTTTGAAAACCCAAAAGAAATATGCGTACGTATAACATTCACGAAAATATCGCGTACAAGACCCCTCGGTTCGAGCAAACAATGTGCCCTGTAAGAGGGCGTTCGTTAAAGCCACCGCGGAAACATTGCGATATATGGGGAAGATAAAAATAAAAAAAAAATAATAATAATAATAATAATAATAAAATCTGCAACGATCCATAAAAGGAGGTGGGTTTGGTTTCCGCGAAAACGTCTTATAATAAATTCGAATAATACCGGTACCTACATCTTTCGGAACACACATTAACATATATTATACAGTATTGAACGATTATTTTACAGTGGAAAATGTGAACAGATAAACCGTCGACAGATTGCACGCGAATCGGTATTGATTCGGGAAAACGATAGACTGATAAACTGATACGCCCGCAATCGTTAGAAAATTATTCTTCGGCGGGTTAATACACGTTCGCACGCTTGCACAAAATTACAGTACAAGAAAAACCAGTCGAACCGTAGGGTTTGCATTTGTTTTTTAACGGGTTACAGCGGCGGCTTTCTCTTAGGAGACTTGCTATGATGAATACCCGTCATTGAGATACAACAGACGTTTTTCCGTGCAATTTGTCGATTCTGAACGCAACGGAAAAATCATCATTGCAAAACGAAACACAATGCTGAGCGCGAAGCTCGGTTAAACATAATTTAGATAAATTTCAATTGGGCATTTTTTTCGAACAACGATCATTGACCGTGAGTTTTTAACGAGTATTGTCATCATAGGCGCAACCAGGGAGGTGCTAGGAGATTTTCAGCACCCCGACGTTTAAAATATCAGCAACTCCGAAAAAACCCAATCGGCTTTTTCATAGATAGTAACGACTATATATTTTTTTTTGCCACGTATTTCATAATTAATGAGCAGAATAAAATACAGATTTTCTGCAGACAATGCGTATAATGATCAATTAGTATTTATAATTGTCCATTATCGTAAGAGCCCTCATGACGTGTCCATAATTTTAGAGCCTCCAAAGTTGGCGGTCCAGTTGCGTCTACGGTTATCTTGTATTTAAATTAAAAATAAAACCGCAACTAGATTTTCAATATTTTTCATTCTAAAACGTCTACGTCTGCAACTTATATAGAGTCTCGAATAAAAATCTAAACCCTTACTTTACTTACTTATTGTAATTCGAAAACGAATAAAAAAAAAAAAAACCGCCGGACAAGTGGATATTAATCTTAGTTAATCTCTTTAAAGGGTTGGGGATTCCTAATTTAATCACTGGAGATTTCTGTCCAAATACGTGTGAAAAAACGTTTCCATCGTCATAAGTTTCTTGTCGTACACTCCCGTAGTCTTATAGGGTCTAGGAGTTTTGTGTAGTCTCGTTTTACCGCGAACCGTGAGCTTCACTCATATACAGGCAGGGCTATATAAGTCAGCTTGCGTGTACGGGTTTTGCTTTTGATTAAAAAAAATCACGTCGCCGCCATACTTAAGCGTTAATATTATTATTGGATAATACCGTCGTCGGTAAGACGGACATCTCGGGACGCCGGCTACTGCATTATTACGATAATATTATACTAATAGTAATACAACGTGTATTGTGACCTACCCATAAAAATATTATGTCTATAATACCTACCTGGTCCTCGGAGCTGAACGTATATTATAATAATATATTGTATTTTATGATTAACGCTTTTGTCCGAGTTTGTTTTGTGCGCGCCGATACGCCTATAATACTATAAATTACAATATTATTGGTGCGTCGTGTTTATAATGCATGTTGTAATGTTATTATGCATGCGTTTAGGTACCTACATCGTTATTACGAGAATAATATTATTCTACGATGATAATATTATTATAATGCTCGCGGCATAATAGACACTCATCTCGTAGCGTCCGTCGTCGAAATGAAACCCGTTAAAAAAAGAAAAAAAAAAAACCAATACTCCGGACACGCCTGTCTTTTCGCTATAGATACCGGAGTCATCCCGTCCGTTTCGGTCCTGCCACGGTGTTTTGTTAAACATAGAAAATAATCCGCTGGTAGATATACAGATGTATTTTACAATTTTTCGGTTTTCACGATGTAAACAGCCCTTTAAAAAACGCGAATCTTCCGTCCGGGCCGAAACTTCAACTGGAACATATTTCTAAGTCTACTGTCAAATGTCTAAAAATAAAACATCGGTTTTGGGACAAAGTGTATATTACAATATAGGAACAATAGAGATCTGAAATGTTGTATCTATAGACGGATCGTCAGAGACGCAACATTTTAAAATCGGATTTTCATATTTCGATATTTCTACGGGGACTTTACTCGAATTTCGGACTTTTTTTTAATTTTTGAATTACTTCGGTTACACCAGAAAAACGCTATTCAAAAAAATGTTTTGTTTACGATATTTAAAACTAAATACTACAATGAATATAGTTATACCGAACAGTACATGCAGGTACCACATTTCAGGCACAATACGAGTGAGTTTGTGTTTCGTCCGATAAGTACTTTTGGTGAAGTCGTTTTTTATTGAATGCAGATTATTCAACGTCTTGCGCCCTCCCGTTTCTCCGCACCATCAACCGGTTTTATGTTTAACGTGCGAGCCACTCTATTCGGGGCCCTCGATCGAAAACCGGCGGTCATCGTCGGGGTTTTATGAGAATGTCGCCCTCTCGAGGGTCTCTGATGAGAACCATTTTGTGTCGCGCCGGTTTCGAGTTTTTTCGAGTGGTTGATCCGGCGAAACGACACGAGAGTTGAGAATATTATGAAATGGGACTTGAAATTGATTTTGTAACTGCTTCCGAGTATAGTTGTCGGACTCTAATGGTTTTTACATGTCCCAAATTCCCGATGAAATTCGAATATTATACTAGTTTGGTTCCGGTTTTCTGCAAGTAAAAAATTACTACTTATTTTTGGTCCGAACGTTTACAAGCAATACTAAAACAATTTCAATTTTATTTTTACCGACTTAGGATTGTCTGTGTTCAATTTAAATATCATTTTTTAACGGTTCGTGAAACTAATATTTGTAATTATAAATTACTATATAAACTAATCTACGTGTTTGCTTTTTTGACTTTAATTTATTTTTTTACTTTTCTTCCACACGACGATGTAAGTACCTATTACACTTACGATAAAAAAACGTTCGGGAAGTGTTATCGTGTGAGTTTCAAATAAGTTTATCTGTTTATTGCCTGGGATGCACACAGATATGATAATGTATAGATCGTAGAGAATTGAATTGTATAAATGAGAGAATATTTCATTTGTTTATGTGCCTATTATAGCTATGGGTTATTTTGGCATTTTATTGCGTTATTAGTACATCTACCGGCGACCAGAATATTGTTTTTTTATTTTTTCCAGCCAGGACTCGACTACAGTGTATTTTCA